AGTATGTGTGAAATTATACTGCAATTATCTGCAATACAAGGCCAACTTCTATTCTGCCCACTAGTTAAGATTTGCTCAGTCACTCAGAAGTCTCCCACTTTGAGCACTGACTGTTGAATGTAAGGCTGGCAGTTATTGTTTCCAGAGAAAACTAAGTTAAATGAGAATCAATGTAAATGCCCGTAATCCTCTGAAATCATAAGAGCAGCACCCAATTATACTAGGACTGAATTTGTTTCATATTTTCTAGTCTACATTAAACTAAAGCCTTGCATATCAGAGGAAGCCTATTACTTTTATTTGTAGTATTTTGTTTATTGGAAATAATCCTCCACAAATAATCAGAATAGTAGCCTGCTCATGAGTATGCAAATTAAGACTATCACCCACAACAGAACAATGCAATATTAAGAGAGAAAAACAATGCACTAAAAAACAGAGTAGTTGTCGCCCCACTGCACACACTGCGTATGCCTGGTTAGAAAATATTTGACAAAACTTGACAAAAATGAAGAGGAAGCTCTACCCAGTATGCTATTTCTACATTTCCTTTACAGCAATCCTAACTCTGAGTCTGAGGTTACACACCTCCTCAGAAGCAAGTCGTCACACCAAGCCAAGCTCTCATTTCGACAGCATAACCCTCAAGTGTGTTTTTCGGTGCACGATCAGTTTATGCAAAATAGGGCATGACATTCAAACACAGAGCATTCCAAAAGTAAGTGCATCATGGACTGCTCCCCAGTGGGTGATGTCTTTCTGATCATATGTTAAAAGCACAGTTGTCAGAGTGAATGGGTTTGCATGAAGCAGTAACTTTTACTTGAAGTTCTCTGACACTAGGCTTTTGGAAGTTAGTATTTATTATTGTTTCACCTGATTCGCACCAAAAAACTGCAAGAACTTGGATACATGTGCTAAACAGTTGCATGTTAATGGGTTAAGAAGCCATTACTCATTAGCTGTTTGTGTATGGATATCTGTATCCTCTGTTGAAATATTATTTTGTAACTTCCTGCAGCACTATTCCTATGTTACAGTAACACTACTCTAGGATGACTCTTTTTCTTCTTTCTCCAGCCATGGCAACTTCTCCTGATTTTGCTTATTAATGAACTAAGGAGACATTTACTATAGGTTATGTAAGCACTTCTGCACTGCTTCGTGAAATGTTATTTTGTGATTTTTTTTTTTTTTTTGCTGTTATATTCCCACTAAGTCATATCACGCATTCCTCTGCACACTTATGGAAAGTGTACACTAGAGGGACTCTCATCTTTCTCCAGAGCTGGGTATTTCTCCTAGTTTAACTGTGCTATGTGATAAGATGTTGTTGTGTTAATTGTGATATTTTTTCACAACATAGTCAACCTATAAGTCCTGAACTTCAAATACAGAATTAGAGTATCTTCTTAAAAGACTCTCTCATTGATATTTAAGAAGACAGCTATACAAATAATGTAATATAGAATTCACATTTATCCTTTAAACAGACAACAGATTCAATACACTAAAGCACCTGGGCACCCATGAAGAGTATGTACAGTTAATCTGTTCATTCACTATTTACAATATCTCAGCAATTAAATGCTTTTGTTAACTATTGTTGGCCCAAGCCAGCAAATGCTACAGATTGGTGTTTACTACTCTGATTAGGCCCACTGAGGTCAATATAATTAGACATGATAGTAGGCACCACACATTCTGGATTGGTTTCAGGACTGGACCCTTAATTGTAATAAATACTGTATTTTAGCTGTATGAAATTACCACGAACATTTATTACAAACTGCAAGTTGTCCAAAGCACTGACAGCGGAATAGCTTCGACTAAAAGTCCATTTATTCTTAAACGCGTTGGAATGAACACACTGGGTCAGATTTTCAAAGTAGTGTGGTTCTCATTCAGGTACTTAAATAAGCACGAGATGCTCACAAATACCCAGCACTCTGCAACAACCATCTATGCAATTTATGGCCAGATTATAGGCTACGCGTTATGAAGCTATGGCCCTTAATTCTTCCCCTGAAAAGAGTCTAATCAGACAACAGATATATTGGCACAGTAATGCAGCAGCCATTTCAGTAGTGACTGCTTTAGTTAACATTGCAAAACATTTCCATTACAAACTTATCTGTACTCTTTCTAAAACATCATGTTGGTTTTTGCCCAACTATTTGGGTAGATTCTTTTAAGTTTTGAGTAAAACTTCAACCACTGGATCCATAAGAAGGTAAAAGGTAAAAATATATTTCCCCTATTTTATAAGTAATTTCACTGTTTCCATCACACAGAAAACTTGTGCAGTGAGCTCCAAAGGCAGAGGAAAGACATCCCTACTTGCCAGAATCTTCAGCCAAGCAAAAGGTGTGTAACACAGCCTGGCCACTCCTTCAGTTCCCGTCAATGGCTGGAACAGTGACCCCAGCCTCTTCGTGATAGGTCCACTTGAGTGGCCTGTGTTTTGGGGTAGTGTTCTTTTCTTTATTTTGTTTCCGAAATTTGCTACTAGATAACTGTTTGCCCTGGGTAACACTCTCACACAGATCTCTATTCAGTCATCCTGCCCAAAGGGTTTATATTTGAAGAAGTTACAGGGCACACCAGTGACTCCACTATGTAGACAACACCCTTATCTGCATCTCAGGTTCCATCAGACCTGCATCTCAGGTTCCGTTCAGTCAATGAAGTTGAACGACTTTTCCGGTGTCAGGGCCAAGATCGGTGCATGGATGAGAGGCATCAAGTCCAACTTCACACAACTAAAACCAAGGTCATGATGTCTGTACCAGAAAAAAAAATGGTAGAGCTGCTATGCACTTCCTCGACTGAGCAAGCATGCCTGTTCTCTGTTACCCAGCCAGGAGCACATTTTTCCCCCATCAATGCTTGTCAATAATGATAGAAATGTATCCATGTTAGTCTGGTGTAGCTGGAACAAAATACAGGACTATGTAGCACTTTAAAGACTAACAAGATGGTTTATTAGATGATGAGCTTTCGTGGGCCAGACCTACTTCCTCAGATCAAATAGTGGAAGAAAATAGCTCATCATCTAATAAACCATCTTGTTAGTCTTTAAAGTGCTACATAGTCCTGTATTTTGTAAATAATGAAGCATTCTTTACATACAAATCTGACAACAACTGCCCATGCTTTGGGCATCTTAAGCATGGATTCCTCATGGTCCTATACATAAAGACCATTCAAACTTCAGGTAGCAAAGAATCAACCTATCTGTTTAATATGCAATCAGTGTTTTAGACAAAGACTGTATTGTAGGTCATCTTGCTCTACAATCAACACTTTATAAGTAAAAAAACCACAACTAATGGTTCTAAATGACTTAGGTCCGGATTATCAAAGAGACCACCTTTTTCTTCTTGTTACTGCACCCAGCTGAAGTAATTCAGTAAACAGCTCTCTGGTTTAACACATCAAAAAGGTTCCACTGTCCAGCCCTCAATTTTTCTTGCAGAAGACTGGAAAGGGGCAGATATAGTGCCCATCTATAAAAAAGGAAATAAGAACAAGCCAAGAAACTACAGACCAGTCAGTTTAACTTCTGTGCCAGGGAAGATAATGGAGCAAGTAATTAAGGAATCCATCTGCAAACAACTGGAATATAATAAGGTGACAGGTAACAGCTAGCATGGATTTGTAAAGAAAAAATCATATCAAACCAATCTGATAGCTTTCCAAGCCTTGCGAATAAAGGAGAAGCGGTGGATGTGATATACCTAGACTTTAGTAAGGCATTTGACAGTCTTGCATGACCTTCTTATCAATAAACTGGGAAAATGCAACCTAGATGTGGCTACTATAAAATGGGTGCATAACTGGCTGGATAACCATTCACAGAGAGTAGCTATTAATGGTTCACAATCATACTGGAAGAGCATAACAAGCGGGGTTCCGCAGAGGTCTGTTTCGGGACCAGTTCTGTTCAATATCTTCAGCAATGATTTAGATGATGGCATACAGTATGATTATTAAGTTTTCAGACGATACCAAGATGGGAGGGGTTGCAAGTGTTTTGGAGGAGAAGATCAAATTCAAAATGATCTGGACAAACTGGAGAAACATTGTGAGGTAGAGAGGATGAAGTTTAATAAGGAGAAATGCAAACTACTCCACTTAGGAAGGAACAATCAGTTTCACACATACAGAATGGGAAGCGATGGTCTAGGAAGGAGTACTGCTAAAAGGAATTTAGAGGTCACAGTGGACAACAAGTTAAACATGAGTCAACAGCGTGACACTCTTGCAAAAAATGCAAACAATTCTGGGATGCATTAACAGGAGTGTTGTGAGCAAGACACAAGAAGTCATCCTTCTGTTCTACTCTGCACTGATTAGGCCTCAATTGGAGTATTGAGTTGAGTTCTGGATGCCACATTTTATGGAAGATGTGCAGAAAT